GTATTGCCGGCTAGGCCTGGGCAGTATTGCGGTATATGTTTGGTATTGTCGGCTAGGCCTGTAATACCAAATACCCAGAACGCCATAAAAATACTGTAAAAGTACTGTAAAATTATATCATAACTGGATTTCCGGAACATTGCCCGTCATTTGCGGACGTCAGGGAAGTGTTGTTAATTCGTGAGAGATTTCCGGAACTTTCGAGAGCTGCATATCTTTCGCACTGAGATGCTAACTGGACAGGAAGCTGACAGTGCCGAGAAATCCAGGGCTAACCGAAGAATGAGGATTTACGGATATTACCGACAACTTGGCTGCCTACATGTGTTTAGCCTGTGCAACTGCACTAACAAGAGACAATGGTAATGAATGAAGAAACCATGTGGAATTTTCTAAACAATCACAACTTCTAAATCCAATACTGTACTCAGGGCCCACCTGTAATTGCACTGCTAATCAATGGGGTTCTGCTGCAGGGCACTGTCATCAACAATTAATGAGTAACTGGAGTAATTATAGGACAGATTGTATCTATCCTTCCTTGGGAATCATTGGTTTGTAAATGCCATTGATTCCCATCGATGCATGTGTACAGTCTGCTCTGATGTTAATTAACGGTACAAGACAGCTACGGGAAAGTCACCATTCTAACGATGGAAATCATTTATAGTGCTCTATCGCACAGGATGGATGCACAAGCTCTCCTGTCCAATTGCTGCAGACTGCAAAAAAAAGGCTAAAATGTACCATTCTGCAGATGATTAGTACTCACTCAGGTTTCTGAGCCAGGAGTCCATTTAATCAGGACGTGGAAAAGGCACATTCCAGTGAAAATTGTGCGTGCTGCATGGTTATGTACGGTATATCAGGTAACACAGAGACTGAGAGACTGACCCCGAATACCTCATGGTACTTTGTCATTATGATGAGCGTCATTAGGTCTGATCACTCGTGACTGTAGCTCTGAGAATTTTAAGCCTAACCCTGAGAATTTTAAGCCTAGCCCCAACAATTTTAAGCCTAGCCCAGAGTATTTTAAGCCTAGCTCCAAGAATTTACATTATAACATAGTGAGGAGTTACCATCATATAGCATTTCCCCATTAGAATGGTTTTGGGCCGATGGCTGTTTCAGCAAGCATTTCTGCAGAAATGATGAGCTTTTCTTTGTGAACGACTGAATGAATATCACTTATTCTTGGAGTTTGGGAGCTGGCTGATGACCCATCCGATTTTTTAGCTTCTGGCTATCTGTCGGGAGATATTTTGTTGAGTGTTGTGTCACTAGTAAACAGTGGGCGGTGCCATGCTGCAGTGGGTAGGATTAATTAAGGAGTTTAATGCCCGTGACTTAATGAATTCCAGATTATTACTCCATTGAAATTGGCTACTTTAGGTCTTTCAAAAAGTAGCTACTGTTTCAGGCTGAATTTAGAAGAAAGGAAAAAGGTACTGTGGCAATTTATACCAATTATCTAGTTTGGGGTGAGCCTACAGGCAGGAAGAAAATAGTTTGGGATACTCAAGATGACATGATCAGCATTGTTTCAGCTGCATATGCAGTCCACACATTCTAAATTAAATTGGTTTTTCGTGATGTAAAGCCAACAATCAGTAGAAATCATGTCAGATGTTTCCATCACTAGTGTGAGTTACAAACAACACAATTAAGGTGAAAAAGAAACATACTTAGTAGGAGAAATAATTGAAATAAAAACTTACATGCCCCTGGATGCATAAGTTTGCGCATCCCCTCCTTTACCTAACATCTTGTGGAAGTCTTTGTGCGCGTTCTAGGTGTCCCCCGGTCTAGTGCCGAGCCACCGTGTCGTTCTGGGTGCCCCTGGTCTAGTGCTGAGCCACCGCTTGTTGACTAAGTCCCTGTGAGGTTTGCACACCTGGACTTTGCAATTTTATTCCACTCTCCCTCGCAAAAAACGTTCATGCTCCTTCAAATTGCCAGGAGATGTCCTGACATAGCCCTCGAATGTAATTCCACAGGTGATCTACGGCATGGAGGTTTCGGCTCTGACTCAGGTGCACTTTGATCTTTCTTTTCAGAAGCCATTCCTTGATTGACTGGGTTAGGTGAGGAAAATCACACTCATATAACCACAGCGTTGTATGTTTTGAAATTTCAGTTATTTATTCCACTAATTATCCGTTGGTTTTCTCTTGATTACAGTAGGGTGTTTAAAACTTAAGGGCGAGCCCAACCTTTTTCAGGACCCTAAGCAGAATTTGATTAATTTATTTGACATTTATTATTTTGCTTCCCAGTTTGATTGGGCTGGTGGCATTGGGTCAGCCTATGGCAGACTTGTTCTATCCACTATATATGTAGGTTCTGAAGTACATTATGGGTGGTGCAGTGGTAACTTCTGTTGTCTTGCACCTCTGGGACCAAGGTTCAAAGCTCTGCTTATAGCTCCGTGTGGGTGGAGTATGTTCTCAGTGATGGGTTTACACCTTATCCAGGGTTGTTCTCTGGAATGGCACAGATAGTTGCAGATATGATGGAGAAGCTCTTTCATTATGTCTTTCACATTTACTCATTTGACACATTTATCCAAAGTAACAGGAAAGGTTATCATTCATGGCGATTCCCAGGGATTTGAACATACAACCTTCATATTATTAGCACAATGTTCTTTTTGTTGAGCTACAGTCTGCTTTGCCAGCCAGTCCTCTCTTTAATACATTCACAAGAGGAAGCCCCACCAATCAGGCCTAACGGCTCCCTCCAGGCTCCAGGACCAGGCAGCCGATACCATCGAGTCGCTGCACAAGGCCGGCATGAAGGTGTGGGTGCTGACGGGGGATAAGATGGAGACGGCGGCAGCCACCTGCTACGCCAGCAGGCTGTTCCGGCGCAGCACGCAGATCCTGGAGCTGACCACCAAGCGCACGGAGGAGCAGAGTCTGCACGACGTGCTGTTCGAGCTGAGTCGCACTGTGCTGCGGCAGCGACGCAGCATGCTGCGGGAGAGCCTCTCGGGGTGCGTGCATGGCCTGCGACTGGCGCCGCCGCACACACACACGCACACACACACGCACACACACACGCACACACACCCACAGTCGTGTAATCATATCTTTTTGGGTACCGCTCATGCATTTCTATGGGGAAAATGCTAATGCTAACTATAACAATCTTAACCCCTACTCAGCCCTAACCATAACCATAAGTAACTATGACAACCTTAACCCCTACTCAGCCCTAACCATAACCATAAGTAACTGAACAAAATACAGTTTTTGCATTTTTAGTTTTTTTTATTGCAGTAACAGATTTTTATAAAAAATTTCTAATCAATAAACATTAAACCTTACTGAGGTACTGATTACCCAAACAAGGTAAACTAGTGGGTGTGTCCAATAAATACCTGGATATATTGAATGGGTACTGAAAAGCTAGCATGCTTTGACAGAAATCATAGTTCTATACTCCCATAAAGACAATTTACACATTTCTTTGACAGACTTTCCATAGTACTATATGTGTACTATATACTATACATTAAAATAATTATACAGTACCAGTCGACAGTCTGGACACAACAACTGAAAATCATTTGTTTTCCAAAAAGATAATGACCGTAAGCTCACCTCAAGGTTATGTATGAATAAGTATTATCTTGTGAACAAGGAAAGAGATGGAGGGCTGTGACAGATGACCTGGTCCCCACAGTCCCCCAACCGGAGCCCTAGAAAGCTGCTTTGGGATGAGTTGGATCAAAGAATTAGAGCAAGCCAACTTGTGTCCAGAACTTGTGGAAACGACTTTAGGACTGTTGGAGAAGCATTCCTGGTGGCTGCATCTGGAAGCTGGTTGAGAGAATGCCAAGAGTCTGCAATGCTAACATAGAACCAAAAGGGGACTATTTTGAAGAGTCATACATTTCAGAATATTTTCAGATCTTGAACACCTCTCTTAATTGGTGCAGTATTTGATATGTATTTCCTCTTGCCTTGAGGCCTTTTACTATAACTCAAATAAAATAACTAAAATAGAGATAAATGCATTAAAATCAGGTGTGTCCAGACTTTTGACTGGTACTACAGTACATATACCAGGGGTCACCAACCTTTTTGAAACTGAGAGCTACTTCACGGGTACTGAGCCATACGAAGGGCTACCAGTTTGAAACACCCTCCTAAACTTATCTAAACTTCATGTGTAATAAACATGTTTTAAATGCTTTTTTTAGATACTGTCATTTTCAAATCTATATAAATGCAAATATGATTAGAGAAGAATAGCAACAGGATAAAATTACATTTTAGACGCTGCTCACTGGTGAGTTGTGCTATTTTTAGAACAGGTCCGCGGGCGACTCATGTGGACCTCGGGGGCACTCTGGTGTCCGGGGTACCATGTTGGTGACCCCTGATATATACTATATATATACTAGGGTCTTTATTAACCCTCTTATGCACTGTGCGTTCTCAGTCTCTCCAACGACTTCCAGGATTACGGGCTGATCATCGACGGCGCGACGCTGTCGGCGGTGCTGAAGCCATCTGAGGACGGCAGCTCGGGAAGCTACAAGGAGATTTTCCTGGATATCTGCCGGAATTGCAGCGCCGTGCTGTGCTGCCGCATGGCGCCCCTGCAGAAAGCCCAGGTCTGCCGTCTCGTCCTGGTGTATCTCGAAAGCAAGCCACTCATCCATCTTCCCACCGCTTATCCAGTACTGGGCTGGATACTCTCCCAGGCAGGCATGGGGCACTAGACCGGGGGACACCCAGAACACCACGGTGGTTCGGCACTAGACCGGGGGACACCCAGAACGCCACGGTGGTTCGGCACTAGACCGGGGGACACCCAGAACGCCACGCTGGCTCGGCACTAGACTGGGGGACACCCAGAACACCACGTTGGCTCGGCACTAGACTGGGGGCACCCAGAACGCCATGGTGGCTCGGCACTAGATCCGGGGCACCCAGAACACCACGGTGGCTCGGCACAAGGCCGGATTTTTCTTGCCAGTTGTAGTTTAGAACTTTTTTTTTTTAACTCATACGTTCCCTGAGCCTTTCCTGACTAGAATATGAATAGCCTGTATGTGTCTTTGCATGCATACATGTCTGTGTTGTGATGTATAGCTGGGGGGGGGGCATGATGTGGGTGAAGCAAGGGGGAATGTGAGGGCCAGAAAATGGCCTTCACTCTGCTTTGTCTCCAATTGCCATTCATAGTGTCAGTTCCTTCAGAGAGGTTTTGGAAGAATGTTTGCTTATGGAAGAACGTCTGCTTGTGGAAGAATGTCTGCCCAACAGACTAATTAGGCACTAGGTGTAGTCACTAAAGAGAATGGGGGAGAGAAATAACAGTGCTAGAAAATGAAACATTTTCAGATTATAATACACCTTCTGCAGAGATTTGCCTTGTGTTTAGTTTCATTGCTCATGCAACACAAAGAAAAAAAGGGATCACACAGAGAAAAGGATCACAGAAAAAAAAGGGATCACAGAGAAAAGAATCACAGAAAAAAGGGATCACACAGAGAAAAGGATCACAGAAAAAAAGGGATCACACCGAGAAAAGGATCACATAATAAAGGGATCACACAGAGAAAAGGATCACAGAAAAAAAGGGATCACACAGAGAA